TCTCTCTCTCTCTCTCTCTCTCTCTCTCTCTCTCTCTCTCTCTCTCTCTCTCTCTCTCCCTCTCCCTCCCTCTCTCTCTCTCTCTCTCTCTCTCTCTCTCTCTCTCCTCTCTCTTTCCCCCACCCCTCTCTCTCTCGCTTTCATTCTTTCTTTCTCTCTTCTCTCTTTTTCTATCTTTCACATTTCCCCCCCCCCTTCTCTCTCTCTCTCTCTCTTTCCACGCTGGGCGCCGTGCAATCTGTGACGACGCGGTTTGAGCCAGAAATTGCGCGCGCGGAGGAATACACACACGCTTGACTACTGGTGGAAAAAAGCACAAATCCCGAGGTACACGTTCAAAATGCATGTGTTTATTCAGTGGGTGTATGCTCTAATATGAATGTATACTGATGTACATGTTTATCCGTACATGCCTCCCAGGTATACAAACATATATTGATGCACTTATACAGATACACGCACGCACACGCAAGTACGCATACACACGTGCGCATACACGCGCACACGCACGCACGCATACACACGCACACGCACGCACGCACACACTCACACACACACATACACACACACTAACACACACTCATACCCCCCTCTCTCTCTCTCTCTCTCTCTCTTCCCTCCTCCTCTCTCTCTCCTCCCTCTCCCTCTACCCTCACCCTCACCCTCTCCCTCCCTCCCCCCGTATCCTCCCCTATCCCCCCCATCCCCACGTCGTACCCTCGTGCACCCACTTTTGTCTTTACACAACCAGTAATCTTTAGGCGGTTTTTATACAGATTGGCCATTATGCTCGTGAATAGGCCTACCCCGACGCCCGCTCTGCCTGGGTGGCCTTGCCTAATTACTCCGTGGAACAACTATCTTTTGAACTCTCCAAGGACGGACAATCTCTATCTCTTTTAATTTATTCTTAAACATTTTCGGGGACTTTTTTTTTTTTGTAGAAATCCCGACCACAAGCTGCGGGTTCTCTCTCTCGGATAAAGGTTTCGAGGACTATTCGTTCCAACCATTTTAATCCGGAATAAGTCATTATATGACATCTATTTCGCCAAAGAGAAAAAAAGAGGGGGACCCATCATAATGCATTGTGTTTCTGGGCAAAAAAATGGTATGGAAAAAAGTTTTAAACTCTTGTGTGTGTATGTATGTATATATATATATATATATATATATATATATATATATATATATATATATATATATATATATATATATATATATATATATATATACACACACATATATACACATTTTTTAATCATCTATCTTTTTAATATCCACTGTCATTGTTTCAAGAAACCTAAATAGCAACAACAGTAAGACGAAGAAAAAGAAAAACATTAACATTAATAACACAACAACAATTGTAAAATGAAAAAAAGACATACACGAACGCAATTTATCACATTCACCAGAAAAAACACGCGGACGCAAATAACCAGTTGTACAATACTCCCTTCCCTTAGTACATGTTGACGGAGGGAGGGAGGAGGCCTGTGTTACGAAATCTCAACGGAAAGAACTGCAAGGAAAAGGGTGGGTATGAATGAGAGAGGAAGAGTGGGAGAGTGAGAGGGAGGGAGGGAAGGAACGATGGAGGAGGGAGGGAAGGGAGGGGAGGGAAGGGGAGGGAGGGAGGAAGAGAAAGAGAAAGAGAAAGAGAAAGAGAGAGAGAGAGAGAGAGAGAGAGAGAGAGAGAGAGAGAGAGAGAGAGAGAGAGAGAGAGAAAGAGATAGAGAGAGAAAGGAGAAAGAGAGAGAGAGAGACAGAGACAGAGACAAACAGACAGAAGACAAAAGAAAACAAAATAAAGACAGAGAGCGACAGAAAAGATAAAGCCAGATAGATGAAGAGAGAGAGAAAGATGGAAGGGGAGGGGGGAGGAAATGAGGACCATTACAGAGCTATTAGCGAAAATCTGTCGGCAAAGACTAACCGGCCTTTCCCCCCTACGAACATACCCCTACCCCCCTCTAACCCCTCTCCCCCACCACCCACACAAGGCGGACGACCAGAGGAAGAGACAAACCACGCTATATAATAATAATAATAATAATAATAATAATAATAATAATAATAATAATAATAATAATAATGATAACGATGATAATAACGATAATAATAATAATGATAATGAAGTTTTTGATTTTAAAAACATGATATAAGAGAGAGAGAGAGAGAGAGAGAGAGAGAGAGAGAGAGAGAGAGAGAGAGAGAGAGAGAGAGAAAGAGAGAGAGAGAGAGAGAAATACGATAAGAAAAGGAATAAATCAAAAGGAAAATAAATGATAAAATTGAATAAAACATATAAAATGCAAATAAAACAAAAACAACACAATAACGAATACATAAACAATATAGACAGACAATAAATAATAACAAGTAAACCAAAATAATATAGATAAGACAAACATATAATGCAAAAACAAAACAAAACAAAACAAATAATACAGCAAGGAAAAAAAAATAAAACTCATTTGCAGAAGAAAAATGGAGACAGACACACGCTACGAACAGAATAACGAAACAAGAAATAAAAGAGAGGAAACTTAATTACAAAGAAAGAAAGAGGTATGAGCAAAACAGATGAAAAAGGACGAACACAAAATAGAGAACAAGGTGGAAAGAGGGGAAAAACATAAGGAAAATGAAAGGTTTGGGGAAGAGGGATGAGAAGGTAATGAGAAGAGAGGAGATGAGAGGTAGAGAGAGAGAGAGAGAGAGAGAGAGAGAGAGAGAGAGAGAGAGAGAGAGAGAGAGAGAGAGAGAGAGAGAGAGAGAGATGACATGAATGAAGAGTTCAAATTCAAATTCAAAACGCTTCATTCCATTAATTACAATGGCTATTCCATTTATATATATGTCGTTTACATTATGTAATAGGATGTTATATAAATAGATATTATACAATGCTTGTTTAACAAGATTAGACAGAACATTAATATCACAGATGACTTTAATTTCGTACTTGGCTTGATGTTCAAACGCCTGATGTCATTGATATTTCAGTAGATGTTCTTTCACTTTTGTTTTAAATGTCTTTTGGTTGGAGATATTTCTAAAATTTTCAGGTAGTTGGTTCCAGATCACCAGTCTTCGGATTTGCATATTTCTTGCCCCGGTTTCTGTATTCGATCTTTTGATATATAAGGAGTTATTTTGCCTTGTAAGGACACCTGTTATGTTACCTGTTGTTTATATAGGTAATAACTAATTTGGGTAATTTCCTTGTATTATTTTATGGTTCAGAATACACGTGTCATATTTGTATATCTGTTGTACGTTTAGCCATTTTAGTTTGTTTAAAAGTGGTGTGATGTGGTTATATTTATTTACATTTCCCAGTGATACTCTTGCCGCGAGAGAGGAGAGAAAGGGGAGGTAAAAAGAAAAAGAGTGGGGTTATCGTGTGTGGGGGGAGGGGGGGGCTTTTAAAGACTATGACTCTCCAGAAAAAAAATAGTAGGATCAGGATGAGGGAATACGTAATAATTAAGTAAATAATTACACGAAGCTAAGAATATTATTTTTAAACAAATACAGACACGCACTCAAAATTACACATACATACATACGTACATACAAACACATATGCTCTCTCTCTCTCTCTCTCTCTCTCTCTCTCTCTCTCTCTCTCTCTCTCTATCTATCTATCTATCTATCTCTCTCTCTCCCTCCCTCCCTCTCTCTCTCTCTCTCTCTCTCCCTCCCTCCCTCTCTCTCCCTCCCTCTCTCTCTCTTTCCCTCTCTCTCCCTCCCTCTCTCTCTCTCCCTCTCTCTTTCACACACACACACACACACACACCCACACACACACACACACACACACACACACACACAAAAAAAAAAAAAAAAAAAAAAAAAAAAAAAAAATCCTCATAATCCTGAAATAGTCATTCCCGAACTCGTTTTCTCGTTTTCCTCCAAATAATACCCGACCTTCAAACTCGTTTTCCTCCTCATCGTCTTGTTTTCGAACTGGTCGTTGCCCGTCTTGCGACACAAGGGGTAGGTCGGTCGGTCAGTCGGTCTGTCTGTCTGTCTGTCTCAATTCATTTTCTGTCTATGTCTATCTGTCTGGTCTGCTTGTCTGTCTATCTGTCCTGTCTGTCTGCCTGCCTCTCTGTCTGCCTGTCTCTATCTCTCTCTTAATTCATTTTCTGTCTATGTCTATCTGTCTGGTCTGCCTGTCTATCTGTCTATCTGTCTGTCCTTCTGCCTGCCTCTCTGCCTGCCTGTCTGTCTCTATCTCTCTCTTAAAACATTTTCTGTCTATGTCTGTCTTTCTGTCTCATCTCTTCTAATTAATATGAAAACTTCTCATGGGCCTTACATTCACTACTTGGATAATTAGAAAGGATATATTCCCTTTAACATTTCAGTCTGCATAAGGAGGCGATTCTCTCTCTCTCTCTCTCTCTCTCTTTCTGTCTCTTTCTGTCTTTCTCTCTGTTTCTCTCTGTCTCTGTCTCTCTCTCTCTCTCTCTCCCTCTCCCTCTCCCTCTTTATCGATCTCCCTATCACTCCCTCCCTCCGTCCTTTTCTCCTTCCTCATCAATCTATCTATCTGTCTATATCTACCTATCTATCTATCTGTTACTTCCTCATTCACTTGTTTTCGAAATTCCGAAATACCATTCTTATTTTTCGTGTAGTGCATTGCATAAGAAAAAATGGGACAGCAGTATTTCGGGTTAAGACCAACTTCAACACGTTTACTTATATTTTTTCTGTATCTCTTGATATTTTTTAAATAATTAGTATTGTTCTGGATTATATTACAGAAAAAAACTAAAAAGCATCTCTCTTGCTGTTTTTACCAACCACTGATTTTGCTATATCGTATACATTATAGATTGTGTGTTATCAGTCATAGTATTTCCACTACATATACCACAAAAGTTCCTCGCTAATAAATGAATGCAACTTGCAAAATATATTAATATTCTTAGAAATAATGACAATAACAATAAAAAATTAAGGGTTAGAGGACTTAC